CCACTTAACTCGCCATATCTTCGGAACCGTATGACCGAAAGTAAGTTATATCCAAGGTCCAAACTTTAATGTGTAACAAAGAACTCCGATGTCTAGCTGCATTGATGAGCTGTGAAACAGTGAAAGAGTCTGTCTGTGGATAACAATATATATATATATATATATATATATATATATATATATATATATATATATATATTGATATCAACATTAAATGCATTTCTACTCCACTGCTATCCGTGTCAAAGTTAGATTTCATGACATATTATACTAGAAATTATTTGTAACCCGCTGACGCCTGTTGAAATACATTATACAGTTCACGTTTTAACAATTTCTTTAATTTAATTTTATGGTAAACAATTTTTTAAGAAAACTTTTTTTCCCATTTAACGGTGGATTTCTTACTCTTAAGCATTCAACATACAACTGGCTGTGCGTAAACATTTCTTTCTGGGGTCAAATTCCAGTTGTTTGAAGCGTTTGCCTTTCTAAATTTTTATAGTTGTCTTAAACGCAGGAAGAACTGAAAACTGGATTCTTGTATATAAAAATTTAAAGGAAGATATGCAAAAACAATATTGCATTTTTATTAAATAAGTATTTGTTATTTTAATAATTAAGTTGTTTTTATAATAGTGGGGGTATTTTTATATTAAATAATCAAACTTTTAATCTTTCCCCAACATTTAATGAAAATTTATTGTACTAAGCAACACTTTGTAGTAAAACCAATTGTACTTTGTACCTGCTTCCCTGTTTGCATTTTTCTCCAAAATTTCTTTTCGATCATTCAATGTATGGCTATTTTAGAGGGTGTGATGGATAGACGGGCGGAAGAACAGACGGCCGGACTAGCAGAAGTCACAGAATTTTATATGTGAATTTTGCCACTCACATTTCTGCGTCATCTGTGATACCGTCGTTGTCCACAGAGCCATTTAATCCTTCTTCCTCAGAAAGGATTTCAATCAGTTATTTTAAATAGGTCCTTGAGTTTCATATTTGGCATCAGCAAGAGTGGGTTAAACGGCAGGAAGGCGTTACCTACTTGAAATATATTCAAATATTGGAGCAACAAATAGTAGTCCTATGTCCTTGTATGCGATATCAGTTGTTTCTGTCAGGTTAAACTGAGTTCAATAAATATTGTAGTGAATACATGTCATCAATGACCTACTGTAGTTGTTTTAGTAAAAAATATTTATATAAATATTAATCTGAAATTAACTACAGTATTTAGGTTTGGTTTGGTTTGTTTTACGGCACGTAAGCCACAATGGGTTATTCAATGCCGACAAGATTTTTATTGCTGGTAATATTTTCTTCCAAAAATATATTCCTGTTAATATTCAAAACTTCATTGTTGGTAATAATTTTTTACGAAAATATATTGTATAAAGGACAATGCAGCCCTAACTTTTGTCTCGAGGGGAATTATTACAAGTAAGACCCTCTCGCTTTTTCGACTCTTTCACACTGCTTGTTGCATATATATGTTATAGTTTCTCGGCGTGGGAAAATTTTGTGATAAGTATGTATATATCAGTATAAAAAACAATTCATGTATGTAATTTCTTTCTTTCAGTTATTTTGTCTCCTCCGGTTACCGCGTATATATTAATACCTATAATGAGGTTTGGTTTGGTTTATTTTGTTTTATGGCATATCAACCTCAATGGGTTATTTATGCCCACAAAAGATTTCATTGCTGATAATATTTTGTTTTGTCAAAAATCTGCTTTTGGTAATATTATTTCCTCAAAATTGTATTGCTGGTAATATTTTTTTCAAAAAAGTATTGCTGGTAATAGTTAACTATTTACCCATAGCTGGGACCCTAACAGGTACTACCACCCCGGCTCAGGGTGGACGTGGGAACACCAGCAATTAAGAGGTGGTTCCTCGCTTCTGGAATCCTCCTTTACCGTCTTATCCGGGACGGCACGGTGTTTCTGTGTAAAAATGTTGCGATAAAAACGAAAAGTTTCATCCTTAATTTTTTACTTGTTCTAACGAGGTTCTCATTGAACGAAACGTTAACAACAAGAAATATCAGTCAAATTATTTTCACACCGACACACACTTAGACACAAACACACATGAACACAAACACACTTACACACACACATACACACACGATAATGATTACATATGGTATATAATGAGTTAAATCGGTAGAGACTCAATCGCATATCTGGACACACTGATGAGCTGTGGTACAGCAAAACAGTCTGTGGGTGACAATATATATATATATATATATATATATATATATATATATATATATATATATATATATATATATATTTAAAATCCGAAATCAGGTGAATTAAAATACGCGACCGTGGTTTTGACGTGACGTTCTCATCGATTGATATTTTTAAACGAGTCATTTAAAAGTATCGACCGAAGTGACCGTCGTCGCCTATTTTAATCCACATCCGGATTTTTTTAAAGTTAAAAGCTCTACATGTTATTTTATTGTTACTTATATTTTTCACGTATTGTGCAATTTTTAATACCACGGTTTCCTCGTCTGATTCAAGTAACCTGTTTATATATATATATATCCTCGTCTGATTCATATAACCTTTATAAATATATATATATATATATATATATATATATATATATATATATATATATATATATATATATATATATATTAATATAAATATACATACATATACAAAATATATAAATATATATATATATATACATAGGTGCATACACATAAATGTATATTTTTTGTTTTTAAAATTCCAAGAGGATAGAATCCAGGTAGTACTCAACGTCCAGGACAGAATAAGGATATAATAAAAAAGGCTTAAACACTATTTAAGCCTTTTTTATATATATATATATATATATATATATATATATATATATACGTGTGTGTGTGTGTAAGTATAAACATTACAACCTGTGACTTTTTTCTGTCGTTCTATATCAAAAGCAAGGTGTATACAACTAAATCACGCCTTGACGAAAGAATCCACATGGCGTGCATGCGCGCGTTCGTGCGAGATCGTGGAAGACATGCTGTAAAACGACGGAGAGGCCCGCGTTCGAAAGTGGCTGAAGGTTGCCGCAAATGAAGTCGCTCATGTGAAGGTATACAACTAGTTCTCAAGGCGTTGGTAGTCCTGGGCATGACGATAAAATACCTCTAAGAGCAAGTCCTTTAATCTGTGGAATGGAGGTTTTGAGGAGCCTAGAACCACATCTTAATTGCTGCTGTCCATGTTGACCCAGGATGCTAGCACCTTCTAGGGCAGTCCTAGGTCTGACGATAAACTAAACCCGGCACCAAGGGCTCTGATCGGGAGATTGGAGGTTTTGGTGACCGTGGAAGCACCTATTAATTGCTATTTTTCCAATGTCTACCAGGACCATGTCTGGTAGCATCTGTTAGGTTCCCAGCTATGGACAAATAGTGAACACCCAAACAAAACACTATGAAAATAGAAGAAAAACAGTTTTATATTAAAAATACCAGCAATACATTTTTACCAACAATATGTACATACTAACAAATTGTTACGACAATTCGGAAAATGTCAAAAATAGCCACCAAATACCAATACATCTCTAGAATATGTTACCAATACTATCAGTATTTTGGAGGTTAAAAGATGATGATAAGACTCCTATATATGAACCCTGTTTTCTGTGTTTACATGAAAATCTGAAAATCATCATATTTTTTGACAAAAATTCATTGTTAAATCAAAGAAGTGAATTAACTTTTATTTGTAGGCACAGTTTACCTTTTACCTTGCAATTTAGTTAAACTTTGAAATTTGATAATGTTTTTTCTGATATTTTAGTTGTACTGCGTTGCACTGTATATGGTTTATCTTTCTATTTGTAAGACTAATTAATTTTTAATATAATTTGTATTACTTTCCCAGTAATAATGGTAATAACCCTCTCAAGTTGTATTGTTATTTGGTTGCTATTTTTTGGCATTTTACAATTATTGGTTAGTGTTATTAACATCTTATACGATGGATCTTTATTTAACTCTTCATATTAATATACCAAATAGTTCCATATGTTTAAATTATTTACTAGTTTGTTAAAGACGCTATTTGTTTATCAACTACAAAATGTTTTTTATGTAAGAAATTCAAAAAGCATATAACTTGTTTAGCATTTTATTAAATTAACTCTCAGCCCTCTTTTGATTTCTTAGGTAAACTTGTCTGGTTTGGATAATTTATGTAAGCATTTGTATCCGCTTTAGTTGATGCCTGGCTGCCGTTAGCTGCCAATCGGCGGTTCATGAACCATTTCTAAAAAATAATTTTTAATTTTAGCTTCTTAGTTTAGTCTAAATTTAACGTATGTCATGTTTGACTGGTTGATCAATGTAAAGCCCACAAAATTTATAATCCCCCTTTTTTTTAGTAAAAAGAGGTTGTATTTTGCTTTAAACTCTTAATAAACTGTTCACACGCCAGTAATTTAGAATCGCCTGATGAGATGCATTGACACGCACTGAAACACAACTGCAATTGTATAGCGATTTTTACATGTTTTCAGTGTAATATCCTAATATATATATATATATATATATATATATATATATATATATATATATATATATATATATATATTATTATTTATATATGTATCTATCTATCTGCTTCTCTTTCTTACTATCTATCTATCTGTCTATCTATCTCAGTTTAGCTAACGCGATTATCCCATAAATTATTCGCTGACGGCCGATTGCCCGTGTGTCATCTTGTGGGCTCATCACTCAGAAAGGTTAATAACTTAAATTCAGTTCCTCTAATTTGATTTCTGGGTGGTGGGTGGGGAACGGGCCTCTGTCATTTAAACGGCAAATTGATTGAGAGAAAAAAAGAAAGAAAAGAAACAAGAAAGAAATGAAAGGGAGAGACACAAGGAAAAAAAAAAGAAACGAAACGAAAATAAATCAAAACGAGAAAGAGACAGAGAGAAGGCAATGAAACAATAAAAAGAGACTAGGAAGAAAGAGAGGTGAAAGAAAGAAAGAAAGAAAGAATGAAAGAAAGAAGTACAACCAGGAAGAAAAATAAAGTACATACATACATACATGCAGAAAGAAAGAAAGAAAGAATTACAAACAGGAAGAAAGAAAAAGTACATAATGTATACACACAGAAAAAAAAAGAAAGAAAGAAAGATTGGCGTAACAGAAAGAAAGAAAGAAAGAAAGAAAGAATGAATGAAGAGAGTAATGCTAGATTTAAGAAAGAAAGAAAGAAAGAAAGAAAGAAAGAAAGAAAGAAAGAAAGATAGGAGTAACAGAAAGAAAGAAAGAAAGATTGGCGTAACAGAAAGAAAGAAAGAAAGAAAGAAAGAATGAATGAAGAGAGTAATGCTGGATTTAAGAAAGAAAGAAAAAAAGAAAGAAAGAAAGATAGGAGTAACAGAAAAAAAGAAAGAACGATTGGAGTAAAAGAAAGAAAGAAATAAAGAAAGAAAGAAGGAAAAGAAAGAAAGAAGTACAACCAGGAAGAAAGATAAAGTACATACATACATACATACATACATAAAGAAAGAAAGAAAGAAAGATTTGCATAACAGAAAGAAAGAAAGATTGGAGTAACAAAAAGAAAGAAAGAAAGAAAGAAAGAAAGAAAGAATGGATTGACAAAAAGAAAGAAAGTAAGAAAGATTGGAGTAACAAAAAGAAAGAAAGAAAGAAAGAAAGAAAGAAATTGGTAAATTATTGGCGAAAGAAAAAAAAACATGATAGAAATATAAAAAAGACGAAAGGAAAAGAAAAATGAGAGAAAAAGAACGATAACTAGAAAGAAAGAAAGAAAGATTGTTGCAAAAAAAAGAAAGAAAGAAAGAAAGAAAAGAAAGAGAGAAAGAAAGAATGAAAGAAAGAAAGATGAGCGTAACAGAAAGAAAGAAAGAAAGAAAGAAAGAAAGAAAGAAAGAAAGAAAAAAACAAGAATGAAAGAAAGAAAGATAGAAAGATTGGAGTAAGAAATAGAAAGAAACAAAGAAACAAAGAAAGAAGGAACGAAGAAAGGAAGAAAGTGTAAAGAAAGAAAGAACAGAAAGAAATGAAAGGAAAAGAAAGAAAGAAAGAAAGAAAGAAAGAAAGAAAGAAAGAAATTGGTAAAATATTTGCGAAAGAGAAATATAAAATATAATATTGCACGAATGGGTGAAATAGGAGGATAAAGAAGAAAGAAGAGAAAAAAGATTGAAATGAAGGGAGATAAAATAAGAAGTAAGAGAAAAGAAAGAAGAGGAAAAAGAATAAAGAGAAAGGAGGAAGAATGTCGGAAGCTATGGAGGAGGCGAAGGATGTTATGGGAAGAAGAAGAAGAAGACGAAGAAGAAGAAGAAGACGAAGAAGAAGAAGAAGAAGAAGAAGACGAAGAAGAAGAAGAGGAAGACGAAGAAGAAGAAGAAGAAGAAGAAGAATTGAAAGAATGTAGAATAGCTATTTTAAGGAAAAGAAGGGGAGGGAGAAAGGAAGGAAGAAACCGGACGTGAGAAAAAATGCGCGCGCATACAAAGTCTAGCATATGAAAAAAAAAAAACCCAAAAAACAAGTTAACGTTCGTTAATTAAATGGACGACCATCAAAGTTGGTCTCCCAAAATGGCGTTGTTCTCCTTGACCGCTGCGCCCCTGGTCAACAGCCCTGTTTCTGACATAGACCAGCTAGGGGAAGTTGAGTACTTCGATCTGAAGAGACTGTCTAGTCGTTGGCCCAACACACCATTGCTGTGTTTCGCGCTCCGTGCCGGGGTTTAAGAGACGCTGTCTTTGACACGTAAGGAGGTTGAAATAAAGGGGAACTTGCGCTCCTGGGTGTGGTTAAGATTGCTTGTTGATGTCAGTGAGTGATCAAAGACCAAACCTTCTTCTCTTGTAGTCTTCCGTGCCTGCTTTGTCAGACTTTGGGATTTGGGTGAAAGAATCCTATTATAATAATGCTTGTTCCTCCCTTGCTTCGCATGATCGTTACGCCTTGCCAATACCTAATAAATAACGGACTATTTCGTTTTAACCTTGTGTGAAGACAGAAATGACATATTAGAGACGCTACTTGGTTTCAGTAAGAAAATGAAATAAAGAGAGAAAGAAAGAACCCTCTTTATGTTAGTTTATTACTCAGTTGGTTACGCCCAGACAATACCTAATAAATAATAGATTATTATGTTTTGATCGCGTGGAAAGACGGGAAATGTATATCAGAGACGCTACTTGGTTTCAGTGATGAATTTAATGAAAAAAAGAAAGAAAATAAAAAGGGAAAATAGAAGTGTGTGTGTTTTTTTTTAATTTCTTTTTCATCTTTTCACCCTAAGCAGGACCAAAAAGATGAATCCGAATAATCCATTATTTATGAGGTATTGGCAAGACGTAACGGTCGTGCAAAGTAAGGGATGGACAGGCCGTATTCTTGCTGCACAGGACCAATGCTTGCTTACTAGAAATTGCCAAACACACATACTGAAAAATTGTGTTAACGCAACATGAAGATTCTATAATAAATATCCAGAAGGAATTGACCATCTTGTGATCATGTTGCACGGTATTGGCACCCACTGAATATAAAACTCGGCAAGATAGAGTGCGCCAATATCAGCACTGGAAAATCTGTAATTTTTACTGGAAGGAAACTGCAGGAAACTTGTATGAAAATCAACCAGAGACAGTTAAGGTGATAAGACCTGTGACAATTTTATGGGGCTTTACAATAACCATAGACAGAACAATTAAAGCTAATCGACCAAACATCGTAATTGAAGAGCACAAGAACGGAAAGTGTTTTCTTATTGACATGGCATTCCCTGAAGGCTGTAATGTATCTTTGAGGATCTTCAAAAACCTATCAAAATACAAGGAATTTTAAGTAGAAATCTAAAAAAGAAAGTGGCTCATCAATAATTCCTCGGATCGATTGGAAAATGTTCCCTTAACCTCATTGAAGAGATTCCTTAAAAATAACAAAAACTGTGCTCACAAGTACAGCTCAGACTTTACGAAGAGATTTATCAATGTAAAATGTGTGCTATCATAGGTGTGCTTTTGTTTTTTCAAAAATGCCATTTCTGAGCTTAGGTCTTTGCTTGGCACCCGAATGGAAATAAACATACAATAGAAATCCAAGGAAATAATAACACAACCACTGCACTAATAATAATAATAATAATAATAATAATAATAATAATAATAATAATAATGTTAGCCCAAAATGCAGATTCTGTGAAAACAATTGATCATCTTTTATCAGGTTGCACGATATTATCACCCACTGAGTGTAAAACCCGGCATGACAGAGTGGGCTAATATCTGCACTGGAAAATCTGCAACTTCTACGGGAAGGAAACTGAAAGAAACTGGTATGAACACCATCCAGACCAGTTACGGAGATGGGACCTGTTACAATTCTGTGGGACTACACAATACACACTGACAGAACAATCAAGGCCAACCGGCCAGATATTGTTATTAAAGACCACAAACAAAAAAAGTGCCTCCTTATTGATATAGCAGTCCCTGCTGACTGCAATGTATCTTTGAAGATATTCAAAAAGCTGTCAAAAATACAAGGACCTTGAAATAGAAATCTCAAAAATGTGGCATATAGGAACATCAACAATCCCTGTTGTAGTTGGAGCCCTAGGACTGGTTGGAAAAGATTGCAGTAGACTAATTGAAGGGATAATAATAATAATAAATGGTATGAACACCACGCAGACCCGGTTACAGAGATATGACTTGTTACAATTCTATGGGACTACACAATACACACTGACAGAACAATCAAAGCCAACCGCCCAGACTGTGAGCCTTTGACTAATACCCCTGGGAAGAGGTTTGAGTCCTCTATAAATATAAATAGTAGGACAGACAGGGTTCTATAGCCTTGGATGGCAACTGGTGTACCACAGAAAGAAATGGCAACCTATTGCGGGAAAAAATCTGCCTATTCAGTCATGTATCGAAAGATACATGATCGCCTAAGCGTGTATCATGCATGGCACATAACTGACTGACTGACTTTCCAGTCGAATCCATTACATTCACTTACGTGCTAATACCATTGCGAAACATATGAATCCTCTTCTTCTCCCCCAGCTATGGGTAAAATAGCAGAACAGACCGAGAAGAGAAAGAACAGACAGATTAAGAATTCACCGTTTTAGCATTTGCTTTTTTTTTTTACAAAAACTGCTCGATATAACGTAGAGGAAAATATAAAAATTAATAATTTTTTTTATTAGAAATCATCAGGTGATGTTGGGTAACTTACCCAAAATCATCTGATGTTGGAATAATTTTTATGTTATGAATCATAGAAATTTTTTCTGTAGCGATGCAAAACATTTTATAGTATATATATATAAAATTCGCAGACACTGCTGTTTCACATCTCTTCAGTTTGACTAGGCATCCGAATGCCTCAAGCCCAGATCGAAATCCAAAAGATTTGGTATCAGTCAGAGTTCCTACCACTGAACTATCTTCACTCAGAAGAACGAGACAGCGAAATCTAGCGTCTTGTTTTTACAAATGTAAAAAAAATGCCCAATAACCGCCGGAGTGCTGCATTCATTTTACTAATGAGCTTCGCATTAACACAGGTGGCTGTTGTTTGTAGAAATAACTTGTCATTCAACAGTACTCAAAAGAATTTTTTTCAAGAGATTTTATAATAAAAGAAAGAACAATAAGATATATAATCCAGCGTTCTTATTAATATCTTTATTTGTACAAAACAGTGTTCAATGCAAATTTACAGAGCATATATATATATATATATATATATATATATATATATATATATATATATATATATATATATATTGAACAATAAAAAAAATATTAAAAAATTAAAATCTTCAGACACACTGGGTTGTAGATTAATATTCTTTCGTTTTTTTTTTTTTTTATTATTTCATTTAGATTCCTCGACTAGTTTCGGCCAACATGGCCATCATCAGGAGAAAAATAATTTTCTCCTTGCTGCTAGCAGTAAACTACAGAAATGAATGTCTTGATGGAGAAAATTAACTTTTGTCTGTAGTTTTCATTTGTTTTTTTTATTTTTTTTTATCTTTTTAACATGAATCTTTTAACATTCCTTGTGTTGGTCAAACAATCTCTTTTAAGTTGTTATTTGAGATAAGTGTTGGATGGATCTATGCTTCTCTGAATTCTCCTGATCAGTTTGACAGTTTTATTGGTCCTGGAGAGGGGATGTGTCTTTGTTTAGTGTTTGTGTGTGTGTTATTTGGTTCTTAGGGAGTGAGTGAGTATGATATGAGTAAGCGTGTGTATTGCTGTGGGTGTGTGTTATCATTTGGCTCATTAAGGAATGAGTGAGTATGATGTGTGTAAGTGTGTATATATTCGTGTGGGTGGGTGTATAGGAATGGATAGGATAAACAAATCTACAAACTGGTCTTTCGTAAAAGCTAACGTTCGTAAAAGTGAACCGACCTAGCGTAAAGCTAACAAGCTGTTACCATTAATTTGCATGAGAAAATGTTTTGAGCGTTCTGATACCCCCCATGTAGATATTTACTTGACCCCCCCCAACTGAGTCAGGTTGTGACACAAGTTCGGTTTTTAACTTGAGGACTCGAATGTTTTCACTCGGGCCGCTGGTCCAAGCTAATCTTAGCTGGCCATAGCTTGTTCAAGCTGGCCAGAGCTGGTCTAAGCTAGTCATAGCTGGTTTTAGCTTGTCATAGCTGGTCGAAGCTGGTCATAGCCGGTCCAAGCTAGTCGTAGCCGTGATACCACTAGGACAGGGACGGATCCCTATGACAGGCCCCAAGTAAACTTCTTTGCTTCTGCCTCGCCGGCGACGAATGTCTAGATTTGTTGAAGGCTTGAAAGGTGACAATATTCTTGATGCATTTGCCTATCATTCAGTCTTTTTGTCGGCGCTCAAAACAACTTGCCCTGAAAGTACGTAATTCGTCAATATCGAAATCATTCTTTTCCGCAATCACTATAACAATGTCAATTGAAGTGAACATAGGAATGTTTTTGCGTGGTCTCGGGACGCTCAAAAACATTTTCTATATAAATTAACGGCAGTTTCCACCGCAAGGAAAGTTGGCTCCCTGTGCCGCGCCAGGAAATTTTTTCTCGCCGGAGTTGATCCTTCAAATCTACAAATTAACCATTCGCCCTTCGATGGAGTATTGCTGCCATATATGGTCTGCTGCCCCTTATGGTTGTCTCAAGGTTCTTGATAAGATCCAGAGACGGATATGCAATGTAATTAACCCTGATCTGGCATCTCGTCTGCAGTCGCTCTCTCACAGACGTGCCGTCGCCTCCCTCTGTCTTTTTTACAAATACTTTCACGGTAACTGCTCCGATGACCTTCTTTCGCTATTTCCCAGACTTCATGAATTTAAGCGCTCAACTAGTCTAACATCTTGCTCACAGCCTTTCACTGTCGAAACTGTTAAATGTAGCCGTCTCTTCTACTCCAATATCTTCATGTCTCGCACCTCTCGCCTTTGGAACTCCCCCTTTTTCCCGTTTCCCTGAT